AGACCCCTGGTTTGTTGCTTGAGTTCGGATGCTATTTCAGGATTTTAGTTTTCGCATTAATATCGGTGAATTCAGATAGCAATGACTCTCTACGAGGTAGCTTGGCTAGAGTGGTCCCATTGCAAAGACAGTCGGGAGCCTTCATGGATCGAAGGGAGCTTTCGTAAGACAACCTGGAACAAATCTTCCAACCCTGGACGGACATTGTCTTATATAGGCCATTGTGAAGCACTACCAGCGACTCTGTGGTAGGACATCGTACCTCTAATGACTACTCATCACACGCCACTGAATTTGCCTGTGTTCCTCATCGCTTTCCTTTTTTCACTATTTTACTTCCCTTTTGAGTACTTTACCTCCCATATTTTTGTCTTTGATGGCAACGAAAGCATTCTAATCGTAATTTCACAAGTCTTGGCGATATCTCATGATCGATATCTATTGTTTTCATTCTTGCTTCTGCCTTCAGAGAGAAGTATTTTCCCTATTCGCTTGCAGAACGAGAAGAAGACGAGTTTTCATATCATTATTACTATCGGCGTGTATCGACTTTGTAATATAACACGATATTTATCTAGTAATTCTTGGGAACTGATAAAGTGTCCTTTCCCTACCTAAAGGACAGCTTTTGTAGAGGCCTGGGCAAAGCAGTTGTTAGCAATAGCCCTATACGGGTATGGCGACCTTCCTTCTTCCTCTTCTTCTTTTTCTCTGTCAAGCTCGATTTTCACAATGTATTCAGAGATTCGGTTCATCCATTGCCTTTTCCCAACAGCGCACGGCTCATCGAATCCTCGCCAACTGTACGTCGAAAACAACCTCGTCTTCGATCACCTGATCGGCGATTCTTTTGTCTACCATACCACTATCCCGTTCATGTTATCCATGTGAATAACAAGCTGGGGATTTAATATTTGCTCAAATATATTGCAACATTTATGAAATCTTCAGTTCCCGATTGTAGACCATAAACGCTTACCCTTCGCTTTGATCCATTTTTACCACGACAAGGCAAAACAAAGACAAAAAGTTTTTGATAAAATACTTTCTTTCTGCCCATGGAATAAGGGCGCAGAATGTCATCTTTCTCAAAGACCTAAAAGTCTGCAACTACACCAAAGGCATAGAATGATGTTTTTCTTCATCATGAAATTGTTCGAGACAACACAGATGGTTCAATATCTATCCTCTGCACAGAAAATTAAGTTGTCAGAATTCAGAAATGTTGTGAACGTCACTTTACCTTATTCACTGACTGAATCTAGAATACACTAGAAGATTTACAAGTACTGTTAAGCATTCCAAATGTCATGCAGTTCATCATTCCAGTAATCAATAACTATTTTACGTACAGTGTATACACCATGCTTCGCTACTCGCTATGTCCTAGCTAACATAACACCGAATGCTGCAGGATGGATTATCCGTTGAAAAACAAATTATTGCCAACGAATGGTCATATTAACAACAATCGTCCTGTATGAAAGATCGCTGTCAAGTGAGGTTGTCTCAATCAAGCGGTGCTCCACTGAAGATCCGCTTAGGTGCGATTACGAAGACGCCACATCGAGAGTACGAACGACTGTGGACATCGACTCAGGTCATCGATTCAGATGAAGAAGACGTCGAAACGTTAGCCGAATACCGTTCATTTATCACCTTTGTGCAAGCTTGACAATCCAAGAAGGTATTGATTATTATTATCGGGGCGAAATGACGGTCGGTTTGGAAACTACAGTGTATACGATTGAATGGGAGCTTCATTGACAACAGCTCAAGTAGCTCGTCGACTAACAGGATCAATGCTGATACAGGTGATAAGCAAGTATGTCTACTATTTGTCTCATCACTGAAGCGGAGAAATAGCGTAGTTCACCGAAGTGGGTGGGATTGGTAGAGAGTATATGTCTCGACGAGAGGGAGTGACAGTTAGAGACACGGCTGATCAGCAGTCCAAGGCGCTCGCCGATTCTATTAGTGTTTATGTAGTTTCGGGAAAACTAGTGAAACTTCTGTGCTGAAACACGACGGTGAAGTACTGCAAGGTGCTGAAGATTTCCAGTTAGGACTGGGCTAGACTAGTTCTCTACAGAGTCGTTCGTTCGTTCGATCGTCGTTTTCCACGAGTTCTTTTCGCGTTTTTTGCATCATCAAGAAACATACGAATGGATGAAAAACACGCATTACATCACCCTGTCGGCATTTTAAAAAGCAGAAACATCCGTAGCTTATGGGAATCGTGGTATACGTGGATTTCCTAGCTTTCACTAAGCACTGAAATAATTTTCGATGCACTCGCTAGAAAAGTGGTTTCCAAGTGGGAAATTCTATTATGATGTTAAGGACGGTTAATTAATCAATATGACGTCATGGTGGTAAGGACTGGCAGGATTTTCTTTTCTTCAAAGAGGTAGCATGCGTAGAAGGATTAAGCGTAAAATGGTTTACCACAATCCCAATATTGTGCACTTATTTGTCTTAGCAAACATAAAGTAGAAATAAGTAGCTACTACATCATATGTTGTTGTACTCGATTAAAGACTAGCGTAATAGCAGGGTCCTGAGTCGATATCCATTCGCTACTCGCCGCCCGCGAACTACGGCGCAGAGCTTTTGTCGTGCGCGGCGAGGCGACATCGCGGGAATTTTCCGCTGTTGTTGGGACACGTCGCTTCTATGCGCACAATGGGAAACGTCATTACTATTGGATCACCTAGTTTGCTATATGAAGGGAAACAAAAGTTGAGGCTTCATTGTTACTAGCTGTCCTCCTCGACCATTCCCAGAAAGGGCTATCGCTTAAAACCGGTTGTTTGTTAAACATTAGAATCATAGATACGCTAATTCCATGAGAATCTCAACCACGTATATCCAGAATCTAAAGATTGAATGGTTTTTCTATTGTAACGAGCACAAGTCAATGTAAGCATCCATTTAGTTTTTAATGGTGCTGAGATATTTGCAAAACTCCGGACCGCAGGTGTATACGGTGGGGAACGAAAGCGCTATTGTCATTTCCGGGGAGTAACGTGTTCTTCACCACACCATCCGGGTCCTTCGTTTCGCCTGTCTCTCAGCTAGTTCGCTTGTTTCATTCGGTTGTTTTGAGATTTTTGTAGGGTTTCGCCCTACCTCAATGCTACCGTCAATGTAAACGGTACGATCCACTAACGATTAGGTCCACAAATCCACTACCATTAACTCGAATCGTCTTGAAGTTACTTTCATTTTGTGAATATGAGGACGAAAACACTTAGGGACCGATGTAAGTTATGTAGAAAAGCAATTTTGAAAAGAAACGCTGGTTCCGGTGACATTAGCGATGCCGACGACGAAGGAGTAGTAGGTGCTGATGGCCTAGTAGACGCTTAAGCAATCGTAGCGTTCTCATCATCTACCGATTGATTTCATCTCCTAAATCACATAAGTGGGGCAGACTTTGGCCCGGCTGACCCCGAGGCTCCAGAGGACCACAGTGGCTAAACCAGCAAAACTTCGAAGAAATGGAAATTTTGCTGGAGTCCGCACAACCAGTGAGGACGGACCATCCAAGTATCTAAGTAATTAAATAGCATCAGTGGTGAATAGTTGGGTTAGCCTGTTGTCATCGGAACACGGGCACTCTACAAAAACGAGATCGCCGCTTGTCACAGCATTAACCCAGTGTTTTTTGCAATTTTAAATCATGTTTTCCAGCCTGTCATAGGGCGACAAAAACTCTCGCTACCATATGGTGACCACTAGCGCGCAAGGATCGTTCTCGATAACGTGACCTACGAGTCAACATTGATAACATCAGTGAACTGGCCACATGCCAACTCTACGTTGTAATCGTTCCAACGTTTCTTTCTTAGCGTGACGCCATGAGGGTGGAAATTGTGAATAGAGGGACCGGCCACCATCGAGTCATGTGAGTTGAGCAGAGAGAAGTGGAGTACAACGAAATAACATGCAAACTAAGGAGTGCGCAAAGCCCTCACCGGGCGGCGAGAACTGCGGCGACGACGGAGGACAGAGCGGTTGGTGCAGAGACGCATGGTGGACACCAGGCCATCGGACGCACGGGTCGAGGTTTGTACCAAACGCGAGGGACCGAAAAATCAGAGACTCTTTGATGTCCGTTAACGAATCATGTGGTTAGCAGTATGCAGTGGATCAACGATAGCACTTCACTGCTGGCTTAGTTTGGTTATATTTGGGCATTTAGATAAAATAAGAGGAAAATATTCGGAAAACAAGTCGCGTTTCCATATAACCATCCACACTCTCCATAAACGTAATGGACTACATAATCGTATATAGTGACTATTCAGACAAGCGAAGAACTGTGTCCAAGCCCAACACCGCCAGCTCGTCTTACAAACAACTCGCTCACTGTCTCTCTAGCACACTCCGCATCGTGCACACTATCAACTCGATGCCTGCATCTCTGCTGTGTATTGACCACGACCGCGGGGCTCATCATATATCCTGACGTAAAGTTAGAAAGAAACTGATGTTCTACTTGAAGATCGGTTGAGCAATGTATTGTTGCACTCTCGAGATTTCCAGGAAAAACGTCTCATACGTTGTTTTAGTAACGGATAATGTAGAGCTTATCCTTGTAACCGCAATGACTCTATCGATCTGATAGAACAAAAAAATCGAGAGGTTTCTCCACCGACGCCGCTTTTGCCCCGAAATACTTGGGAGCGGTGGTGCGCGCTCATTGTCGAGCGCGGCGCGGCGAAGGGGCGTGGCCACTTCCGCGCGCGCGGTCGCGTAGCCTTATATAAGGAGGAGGCGGTGCGGTTGCTTTTCTAGTTGTGTGTGTGGTTACGCACGGTGCTGCGATATTCTCCACGTGGTGGCATCAAATCAGCTGAGTTTCCTGGGGTGTTCCGGTGTGGTCGTGATCCTGTGTGACCTGTACACAATAGGTCGTGACACGAACATAGCCCCGTATAACCCTCACGTGTAGGTCAACTCGTTCGGCAGCATTCATTGGTTCGAAGCCAATGATGACGTCGGAGGAGCTGTTGGTTACAGCACGAGCTGACGATCATGATGCGTCGGTGTCGGAAGGCGACGTTGAGATCGAGAAGAAGCGACGAAAGACTCGAAGACGTCGTGCGAACAAGAATCGCTTCAAGCCGTACCATTCACTCAGTCCCGAAGAGAAGATCGCACTGGACGCCGCCGAGACTGCCAGATCGGAGCGTAGGACTCGCGAACGGTTGGTTGGTTGCACGATCTTCAAATGCCTGCTAATGTTTTTCTCTTAACTCTGTTTGGTATTTACTTCACTATTATGTTCTTAACCATTCTCCAGTTCCACCATTGAGGGTCTGAATTCTATGCGGTGCCATTGGATACGGTAATCACCTTATGCGCGCTCTCTTACATTCTCTTCTTTCATAAGTAGTCCGCAAATAACGTGTTCTAATAGTCACAAAAACTGATTCATCCTCTTTAAGATGGATTGGATGATGAATCCAGGACTTGATGACAACACTGACTTCAATTCCAATCGAAGGGTCAGTATTTCAGACCGTCTAGTTCTCTTTGTAAATGTTCTATCTCTTGAAGTTTTCGATCCTTGTATCGTTATTTTGTTTTGCTGTGTGTAGTCATTTAAGTCCTTGGCCATCGACGTATTCATCAATACGGAAAGAAAAGCGTCGACGTATACTTAATGTAATCGTTAACTGATCTGTCATGGTTTGATCGTAGTATGAAGAAATTTGTAGTTGAATTGTGTCGTTCCTGAGTTTTCAGTAAGCCAGTCACAGATCAGTTCTCGAGGTGTACCGTCGAGGTTAGTGAAGGTAGGTGTCTGCAGGAATTCAAATATCATATATGGATAAAGACCATTGGGGAAATATTGGGGAACAGGCTGTTGGGGAATTAGTCAAGTTAGACTTAGGAGCGTACTTGACGTACATGGCTAATGAACATTCTTCCAGAATGGCGAACGGGAAGCCTATGGCACCAAGCAACACGACCCAATTTCTGCTTGAGGACCGGGAAGCGCGTGCTGGACAAGAGTTAGAGGTGGTTGGCTTTTTTTTATTCAGATATAATGTGATGTGCAGTAGAGAAGAATTGACGAAATCCATAGAAATGTTATTGAACCTTACATCGTATGACTATGGAGTTTCAGGTAGAGCTTGCTTATGAGGCGAGTGAACGGCGAAGAGTGCGCTCAATCAGTGTATCAAGTGAGTTCGTGGCAACGAGTGAAGGAGCCTCTTCAAGTGGTGACAGCGAGACGGATAAGGAAATGGATAGAGAGTTCGAGGCCGAATTCGAAGAGTACACAATGGATCGTATATCGAAGTTAACTAAAGACCAAGTAGGAATAAGGCAGTGTTGTCTAGTTGAACTATATTTTTAAGAGATTTCGTACTGGTTGAGCGCTTATCCTATTTACTTTGTAGTAGAATCCGACTTGGTTTTTAAGCAAGACAAGAAATTGAAAGCTTATCGCAAACATTTCAGATGACGAGAGAGATATTGGACAAAGAGAAGAACGCCGAATTATATCAAGAAAATATGTCGAAGATGATGAAAGAAAATCAACGATTAAGGAAGATGTTGCTCGACAATGGAATTGTTGTCGATCGTAGCCCTACCTCACAACCGGTTGTGTAGTATCTACCCCACCTCTGTGACAGTTACATTTCTGGTTAGGTTATCCCGTGTATAATTGTAATCATCCTGGTTTGAAGGCGGGTTGGGGCACCCACGTGCCGATCTCTAAGTCGCGGTCGCCGCCTCCCCATTTTCGGGATGTTAGAGTATAAAAAAGTTGTTGCGTTAGTCGCGGTATTGAGTTGGCGCTTTCTCAACCATTCCTCAGGATTGTGCAGTAAATTCGGGTCCTAATTGGTCGGGTGGGGTGTGTTTGTCGTGTATTTCTTCGTTATTCGATCTACATATATCTGCTATTGATTTTGGATTTGACTCTGCTTTTTTTCTTGGCCTCGCCTGTTCTTGTTGTCTTGGTTATGTTTTATTCTTCAAACTGGGACTGATCAGGCAGAGACGGTTTAGCTCTGCAGGGAGAATTATGAATAAACGTCTGCATTATATCTCCTAATCGTCTCAGCGTTTCTAAACAGCGCTAATGAATCTACGAAGAGAAGTCTATGTTTTGGTTGACAATAGAATTAAGATGATGAGATATATGCCTGAACTGGATTATGTAGTATTATGACTCAAGGTTGTGTTGAAATACTCTTTAACTCATTGGTAAAGGTGCCACATACATTAGAAGCACTGATGCGAGAGGTGGTGGCTGTATTCAGTGCGGTTTGCAGTCGTTCTCCGTGCTTGGGTCGTAGATTTGTTCAAGAATGATGAATAAGGCGTCGAAGTGATTAGATGTCATATTTGTTGATTTCTATAGTCAAGCAGCATTCGTAGAATTAGAGCTAGCACTTGTTTGACTTGTGTTATGCGCTACAAGTAGGTAAAGTGTGCCAGAGTTCCAGACGTGTAGCACAGTGCAAGGAATTGTGCAGGGGACTCATGTTCAATACAACCCACGTGTGCTTTGTATTTGTGTGAAGTTGTGGTTGATGTGCGGCCAGAAAGGATAGAACATTGATTGCTTTGTGGGTAGGCCATCGCGCTCTGGTCATTATACAGACTAAGTGGACCGTTTGTGCTACGCTAGAATAACGTTTTAAGTAAGCTGTAGTAGTGTGGAAGTAATATGGTGGCATGTAAGGATACAATATGGTGTAGTTGGGACATGGATATGGTGGGAAATACAAGTTCTTTTGATGCCGGAGGATTTCTTGTCCGCTGCCAATTAGCGAGATTGAGGTTGCGGAGTCAATGTGATGAATTTCACACTAGTCTAGCGTTTTTACTGGTCCAACACCTAGTCTACCGTATGCTATTCATAGTAACAATTATCGTCATTATAACTAAGCTACTTCTATGGTGGCAAACGTCAGCGAAAGTTATTAGATAACCCTAGTCACTGCATACGTTCTCTCTTATCTTTGATGCGTATTTTTCTTCTCTAAACCATTAGAATCCTTAGATGAAGTTATCTTCTCGAAGTGATCATCAAATTATCATGAAGATGATGCAAAATAATTATGAAATTACGAGAGATAGCCTTACTTCAACGACAAAAGATATGACAACGGAAACACCTTTTCCTCTCAGGACCCGTAGCAGGTCATTCGCTGTAAATGCACTTAGTAAACAGTCGTTGTTAAATTTATAGTATTGCTGTGAATGTGTAACGTCGATTGCTATTGTAATAAGAAGAGATTAGCGGAGCTATCACAACGAATTTCAGCTACGCCAGGTTGACATGAAGCGAAAGATCACAAATAAGAGTATTAATGTCATCCACTGATACTATAGTGAGAATGTTTGATAAGAATAAGTTGAAGAGATGTCCTTCTATCGATCCTTTCCATGTTAGGAATCGTGAGAGATTCCCATTCATTCTTATTCCCAGCGAATCCTTGTCCTATTCACCAATTTAATCGATTTTGGTTGAACGAGGACAAGAAAAATGATCTGCAACAGAGCTCTATGCGACAATAGCGACGACGATATATATAACAACTGACTGTGAATAGCATTGTATATTAACGGAATCAGGAGGAACCTTACCCTGTTGGTATTGTTTCTAATCAATGTGCACTTCTTGTCCAGGATTTCGAAAAGAAGATGACACATAGTGCGTAAAACCGCTTGTTATTTCGAAACTCTCTCTGTGTTCCTTTCGATTCGATCAGTGAGAAGTCACTGAGAGAAGAAACGATGGTGCCGGTTGGCATTTCGTAACATTCCGTTTCATCGCTGGCAACCAGGAGTGTGATGATTTGTATGGACCAATGTTCATTTTCATTCATACTATAGACGCTCTTGTGTCTGCCATGATAAGCTGGCTATATTACTGGTAATGAAAATAACAGCTATTGCTTAGTGTTGAAAACGAAGCGATTTATGGATTATATTTACCCTAAGTCATTGATAACAGTCATTTTCATTACATTGTCGAGAGGTCAAGAACCTTCCATTAGGTTTTCATAAAAGTCCTAGCTGCTTTTGTTCTTTATTTTCAAGTGCGCTTATCTCAGCTCACCAGTGAACTTTTTCAATCAAAATCAGATCGCTCTACTTCACTGGTGATGTGGGCCCCAGCATAATTCCCACTTCGGATATGTGCTAGTTTAACCACTGTGAGCCCATAGAATCCCGAGGTCAGCCAGGCCAAAGTCTTCCCCAGGTCGTCATCACCACAGGCAGTCGCCGCCCTTATGGATCAGAGGGAGAATTGCCACCATGAGACTGGTTTGATATCAGGATGGTGGTGTTTCCTGGAGGCTTTTCAGTTTATGAATGGATTTAACAGCAGTAAATGTTTCATTTATCTAACTCATCATTCATTAGCCATTTTGCTAATTTTGGTGTGCAATGTAAATGGAGCCGTATTCTACAAACAGCTACTCGAATGAATTTCGCAAGACGTGCTTATTATTTTAATGATTCTCTTCAGGACTGGCTCAGAACGTGTGTAAACTTTTCTTCTCATTTTATTCTACACGACCTGTCTTTACGTCTGCCGAGCGGCTCCCTGTACTTCATGCATTCGATTTGTTTCTTTCCATCTATTATCTACAAGGGTTTTCGAACACTTCACCTATGGGTTCAGCTGGTTCATTATTGAGAAGCATATAAATTAAGTTAAAAGAATTGTTTTTTTATATCTCCTCATCGATTTCGAAAATATGACAGAGTTTTTCCTCATGCACCTGTGTATTTTTCTCAAAGCTCCTACTCGATCTTATCTGATATCCTCCATATCATTGTAGACTGACTTTCCTTTAACATCCGTATGACTAACCAACATATATTTCCTCATTGATAAGCTAACACGAAGTTGATAACCAAATTTATTCGGCTGACATTTCGACGTCTTCGTTTTCTGCAGAGCCGACGATCCGAGTTGATGGTCCACAGTTGTTCGTCTTCTCGATGTGGTGTCTTCATCATCGTATCGAGTCGAATTTTCTTCAATGGAGCATCGTTCGAATCAGGCAACATCACATGTCAGCCAAGCCTTCCATATTTCGAACTCATTCAAGCAAAAATTTACTTAGTCTTCTCCACTGATGGAGAGTTTATTATTGATAAAGAGGAAAAGAATAAGGGTTCATTTTTAAGCGATCTTGATCAGCACGATGTACTTCATTCTTGTTTCCTCACATTTCGCTTCGAGACATGTTCCACCACTAGAGCCTTATGCGGTAATATTGTTTGAAAAAATTTATGCATAATTCATGACCATACATTATAAAGAGGCATTTTAGTTCATAAATTAGTAAAACTTCTTCGATGTTCGGTGTCTATTCAGTGTTGGACCAAAAAGTACTAGGATAAAGTCAGCTTCTTAAATCGTTATCATGAAAATGTCTACGCTCGTAAATGTGCGCGAACCATTACGTTTCGTATAGGAAAATGACTCGTCTGCGAGGATAGCAGCACTGGCTCGATACATTGGTAGGCCACCACGGGTCATTGTAAAGACCAGATATACATTCAATCACCTCCAAACGATGTTCAACGAAATCGAATGCATGGCAGATTCCCCTGGGATTGATCAACGCCAAGAGCTTTGTCCTTTTATTTATTTATAGGAAAAAGAGTTTTTTCGGTGTAGTACAAAACTTCGATCTGTGCGTCTATCTGCCATCTGCATCCATTATATTTGGAAAATCGGTAATCCACTTTTTACTAAAGCGATTTTATAATTGTAATACAATTGTATCGCATTTCTATCCCATTGAGGTTAATCGATATCGTGAGCGTTGTCATTTATCATTTTTTCATCGCGGTTTTTTCTGGTTGGAATTCTACTTTCTCCAACGTCTGTCAAGGATGTGCATGCACCTGTTCGTACCTGCTCCTTAATTACTACTTTGTTGTATAGTTGAGGCTTAATCAAAGCCTAACAACATGATTTCCCTATAATACGAATAGAAATTTCGCTAGGTGCTTCTACCATCTGTCTTTCATCGCAGGATACTCAGCCAGACATAAAGACTACACTGTCACTTAAGTATAGCTCCTCTTCTTTGTTCTTTTCCAGTAATATAAATAATCGTAAAATACGATATCGATGGCACGAAAAATAGCCCTTCGATGAGAACTTTCTTAGGATAGCAATAGTACTTTTACGTTCGATCTGTCAAAAGCAACATGTAACACAATGGTTAGAGGTGCCCTACAGTATACACTGAGTCGAAACCTGATTAAATCCTGTACTCTGAGCTCACCAAACTTTCAGTCCATCTCGGGTCGGTAAGTTGAAGTCAGTTTGGTTTCGACTATAAAAATACATACTTGATATAGAGGCAGGCCATCGCAAGTGAGGCTAGGTATGTGTCAGGCTTGGTGAAGACGAAATCATGGCGGATCCATCAGGAATAGGACAACGTCGAAGGCTTTATCCCGTCTGCTTTTATGATCGGTCATTAGGACGACATATGAAGCAGTAGTCGTTGTCAGTCAAGCCTTCCATTAAAATCATTAACCGCAAGAAGGGTGGATTGAAATCTCGAGATTCTCACTAAAATAAGGGGTGCGTGCAGAGCAATGCTTAAAGGTACTTTGCGATATGCTGTCGTTATTGGTCCGATCCCACATCCCAGACTAACGAAGTCCTCCATCTATCCGTGTTTGACAGATCGGTACAAGTCATAGCGTTGTGTGAGAAGATTAGAACACTGAATTTATACACTGAGCCATGGAAAATCACTATATTAGCTAAATATGCATTCATTCAATCTATTTCGTTTAATAGAGTTGAGCCAGTACCGCATTCTTGAGGGATTGATCAAAACCAGGACGTTTCAGTAGTTTTACCCTCCTAGCATTGTAATGTTATATTTAGATGAGTTGTGGGTGCACGGTAGTAATTATCAGAGAGATTTATTTGCGCTTGGAAGACATCTTTTAAAAAAACACTGAATTAAAATGAAACTAAACAATGAACATTGTCGATAATGGAAGACCAGACTGAAGATTGAGAGAATCACTGACATAAAGCATAATGCCCAATATTGATTAGAGCTTGAGATACATTAGTGTTTGAGATTACTAAGTAGAAATTGAGTTGGAAGTGTCGAGAAGCAGTTTACATTCACCATTCTAATCAATTTAAATATTCACTAACTAGACTAGCATTTACCCGTATATATGCAGTAAAGGATTTTTAATTAACTGAACGTGATCCTCTACAAAAGCCAAGGCAAAAGTCACCGTAATCCCACCTAGTCTTATTGTTAATTTACATCAACTTATTGATCGCTCACTGAACCGTTGAACTTACGAAACTATAAAAATGAGTGCTATCAGTTAACTACTTGAAAAAATAATTCTAATCTTTAAAAGAGGGACTTTTGACATGACCTTATGACGGAGGGCTTACAATATACCACTCTGGCTACTGGTTATTCCAGTGCATCGTCTGTAATCATCTAGGGTGTGCTCAGCAAATCGCCCACATACGCGGTACTGATCGCTGGCCGAAACAGTGCCCCACCTTTGTAAGATGGGAAGTACCCAAGTCACACAAGAGAGTAAGTAGTCACACGCGCCTAGCCTCAATTGATCATCATGAGGGTCGCGTACATCTACGGGGGATTACGAAATACATTTCACTCGGCGGAGATGACCACCATGTATCAGTGTGACGATGGTAAGGTAAAAGAAATGCATTGAAATAATTGACTAATAAACGTTCAGTTGATTTACTACAGAACTTCTGCGTTTACTTGACCGGCTTTGTTGTAGCCGGTTACACTAGGCGGTATGCGGTCAGCTTTTCGTCCAACAAGTAGATATGTATCCATTCCACCGTCGATGCCTTTCACTTCAATGTGGTCACGATACTCGAATTCGTACTGGTCCAACAGAATGTCACGAGTATGTGCGGATACCTAAGAGAATACAAATGAACAGATGGAGGCAATACTAGCAAGATATGCGTCAACGTTATGTTTTGGTGAAAGCACCTTAAACTATTAAAATGACTTCACCGGCTTAAATGAAGTATCACATAAAGCGATTTGGAATGCGTAAAACAGGAACCTCTACGAAAGATGCAGCGCAGTGGTATTACGTGCATTACAATACGGACATGGTTTTTGGTTAAACTCTGTGTCACAGGCAAACGAAGCTCTCGAAGGTCGCCCTCTGCGGGTACCAAACAAACTTACCCCAGGAATGTAAAAACACTGACTTGATACATCACTAAGCCATCGAAAGCCAATGTATAAGTGAAAAATGGATGCACTTACTTCTATGATGCCTAACTGAATCGAATGCATTGCGCGTTCTTCGCATTTCTAAGGAATTTGTTAACAGTGAGCTGTTATTCGTCTAAGATGAGAACTCTAATCTAAGATCATAAGTGAATGAACTCTGGCATGGCTTACTTCTCGATAAACGCTTTGAAATTGGGCGAATTTTCTTCAGTTCATTTCGTTCGGACTAAAGTTCATTTCCTCATGCATGAACAGTTGGATGTTCTACATTCGCTTTCCTTTTTAGCGTCAACACTGTTAGGGAATGTCTTACAGAATTGTGTTTCGGTTCTGCGTAAAGTGAATTCCTACCTATTCGCATGTTTCTGTTGTCTGACTCCTTTAGGATACTACAGAAAAAAGGCTGGCAGCCAATAACAAATTACCTGAATTCAATTAATGCCGAGGTTAACAGAAAGTCGGTCTTGGGAATTGTTACCTGAATTCTGTTCAGGACTCCGGTGCTGTACATTCGCGACGCAATATTTACAGTGTCACCCCATATATCGTAATAAAGCTTCGTAGTACCAATTACACCGGCTGTCACTGGACCAATGTTTAGTCCCAGTTTACAGACAAAGTCAAAATTGAGTAAATCCTCATTGAATACGGACAGCACATGCTGAATGGCCAACGCGAATTCGACCATCTGAAATTAGTTAAGTAGAGAAACAACATAATTATTTTGCCTATCATTTTACTTCTTGTACTTACTGGTTAGTCTCTACCAAATCAGGAATATAATGGCCCTATCCACTTCTCAAATGGTTTCATGCTTTTATATTTACACTACATACGGTTTCCATCCTTTCATGGCCATGCGCATTGATTTTCGGTGGATATAAATTATATGGAAGACACAGATAAAACCCTTCAACTATCGTGCAAAGCCATGTGTAAAGCTAATAACATCATGGTTAGACAATGAACGAAATTTTTTCATCATACATAAGAGTTGTTTAAGAAAACGGAATTATGCAAAGAACACATGGATACGCAGAAGTTTGGGAGACACGGAGAATATGTGGGGGAACCCAGTGATAAAATGGCAACCTCACAAAACCGGTGCGTCGGGCCTTTTGCAAGTGCGAGCGGACTTTACGTCTTGAATTCAATGCGCATTCTTATCGGGCTGCAATGACAAGCAGTCCGATGGACATGTCGAGCGAAATTGGCCGCAGTCGTAAAAGGGTTAAGACATATATTTCTCGCAGCCTCTTTTACTTCCATTTTTGCTTTATGCTAGCGACTCGCAATACCCCGTCATTTCATCTGAACAGTGAAACGTTGGCGAATGTATGGGGAGCATTTGCTTCAACCATCGTCTTCAAAAATTTCGTTTGAGATGGTGCTGGGAACTTCGAAGATGAGAAAGGTGAAGGATAAGCAACTGCCGTCGACGATTGACCACTTGAAAACGCTAATTGAAGAAGGTCCAGGCACAATAGTGTAACAGTCTGTGGAACAAAAAAGCGTAAGTAAAGAAACAATTTGGAACATCGAAATCGAGCTGCTAAGTCAATGAAGCTCGATAAAGGCATTCCGAATGATTTCGACAATAAGAAAAACGGTCATCGTCATGAATTCAATCCTACAGTTATTTTGTACAGAAAAAATTATCCGTCTAGTGGTGGCACTATGACATGTGACGAAGATGGTTGGACAAAGATAAAACTATCGTGACACTTTCCAAAACCAAATTTAAACGGAAAGTCTTGATTTATGTTTAGTGGGATATCCATGATGGAGTCATTCGCTATAACTTTTAAATCCTGGCCAAATCACCACAATGAATAAACCCGAACAACTTGCCCTTCCTTTGTATGTTGAAAATTGGACTTATTGATTACTATTATCGATTCGAGCGAATTCAATGGTTCGAACGAAATGCAGGGAAGACTGTACATACTTCCAATGGTGCTGAGATATTTGCAAAACTCCGGACCGCAGGTGTCTGCGGTGAGGAACACCGTAAAGTGTGGTGGTGAACGCGTTACTCCCCGGAAAGAACAATAGCGCGATCGCTCCCCACCGCAGACACCTGCGGTCTGGAGTTTTGCAAGTATCTCAGCATCACTGAAAGTTATATTTCGCAATATACCCTGCCATTAAAAAGAGTAAACAGTAAATAATACCTTAAATCACGTCATATTGCTTTATTTTCTCTGATTCACAGAGATTTTACAATCAATTTTCATCAGCAAACTTCTTGTCGCTTCAAGTTAGGCAACGTTTTGATGTATACACCCTGCCATTAAAAAGAGTAGGCAGTAAACAATAAGTTAAAATTTTACACATCTGTACCTACTACTTTTTTAAGGCAGCGAATTATGTGAAATACAGCCACAATGGGGCTGAGATAAACCTGGAACACCAAGCGAAGTTCGAACTCGAGATACCCTTTAGGAGGATCATGCGTTACCTAGTGTTCTGTTGAGGGTCTCGCTTTGCCCTTATCGCGTTTTTTTTACTCTAGCGATGCTATCAGCAATTACTCGCCTGCGGAAATGACTGAGGAGAACAAATTGGCATTGAACCCAGTTAAACTGAACCTGCATTGGAAATCACACTATTTCACCTTTCATTCAGCGTCTTATTGTTAACTGATCGCGATTTCATCCGGAGAGAGGTTTGAGAGTGGAATCTAATTGCAAAACGTATGGTAGGCCAAAAAACCTGGGGAAGGAAAAGCACTCCAACCGCTATTCGGTTTTGTTCGTCTACCCCTTCTCCCACTTCTCCTTTTAACATAAATTTTTCTACTTGCTATCAAAAATTCGCCATATAAGTACTTTTCTTGTACTTTTTACTAGTTCTACTGCCGTATATAACAACTGCTCTCGTAACTGCATTACGATAATCTATTTCACTATCAATCCTTAGGAGGTCCCTGAAAGTAAACTGCTCCGAGAGATCAACACTAAAGCTGTTCAGTGAATGATGAAGTCACTCCACTGAGACGAAAAGAACGTACGCAATGATGACACTCCTATCAAATCTTCGTTTTGTTGACGATGGCGTCCTCTTTTCGAGAAGTACTAGTAAAGCCAGGGCGATGCTTAAGGAGCTCATCTAAGCAGAAAAATGATAAGATTCCGTATAGATCGAAAGAGAGTTGAGTGCATCGAAAATCCATGGTGCGAGATTCACTTAATAGGTTGAAGTCGAGCGTTTTCTGATTCCACTGCTCACGTCATTCGTGTACTTATTGACAGATGAGAAACTTCGCTCTTTTTCACTCAACGGTTTCGATACTGTTGAAAAGATGATCACCATTCACAGAGAGCGTGAATGATATCCAGTGAAATATAACCTGGAAACAAAAGCTGAATATCGTCTTCGGGTTGTGAAAGAGAACCTAATGGTCATAGAATAGAATGTCGATCACAAAGAGAAGAGTTAACCACAGATGAATGAGAACAGTGCAGGGACATTCATGTGAAGACGCACCACCCATGCATCTAGATAACTTTCACAAATTTGTGACTATGAAAGATGCTTGTAAGCACATACCTGATAGAGGTGCTCCTTTGGATGCGCCATGTGCCGCTTTCTCTCGGGATTCAGTCCACTGGCAGCCATATACGCAGCTCCGATCGTTTTTATCTTCTCAATGTGGCAGAATTCCGGTCGATCCAATAATTCATCGAAGTCTCCAATCACCTGTGAATATCATTCTTTCATAATTTCCAGGAATTTGGAATATTTCCAACGACGTGGAAAGTTTGCAAAACATTCGTTGTCTAACGAGTGTTCCTACACATGCACTCAATGTGCTATGGGATGTTCCTGATGTTAAACTGCAGTAAACAGAACAAGGTGGTCTCGCAAGGGTGATATCGAAGTAGCGCAAAATTTCCATCTAGAAGATCATCCAAAGTAGAATACTCTAAGAAAGCCCGGTATGATAATTTTCGCTACCCTCCCTCATTAAAGGGCTTCCCATGTCTAATGGAGCGAGCGGAACCAAGAAAGTTCATTGGTGAGAAGTCAGATCACTCAAAGGGACATAAAATATATCGCTCTATTATGAAAAACAATGCGTTGAGTGAACCATTGGATAAAAATAAGGGATGCTTTGAGGCGATGACTCTAGACCAATGACGTTAGAAGTGGGGAAACAACGGCTACTCAAAACATTTTTCTGAAAACAAGACACGTTCTCGAACTCTGCATAAAATCTGCGTCCACTATTAAATGATGTCGAAATAAAATGAGACAGAACTAGCAGTTAGCAGTAGATACGAAGCTTTAAGCGCCCTACAGAATTCGCGCGGTTCCGTTTTACTAAGGTAGCCCTCTCATCTTATTATAGCATTTTATAGAAATAATTTAAGTGGTATGATTACTGTAATCGTAAGACAGAGTCTTTCCTTTTCCTTTTTGATATGATAGGGTATTAGCGAATAGTCGCCGTGACAAATATAAACGTTTTTAGATATCGCGGAACGTTAACCTCCACTAGCGGTCGGATATTTAACGCGGTGCACGCTCTATAACTATCCATAATTCAACGATAAAGTCCCTCACCTTTTTTCTCTCTGTCTCAATCGGAAGCAACTATGTGTTCTGTGAAGAAATCGATAAGATTAGAGGACATTAAACAAAATAATCAGTACGTTTCAAGTTGAAGACAGAGGAAACTGCTATTGGCAGAGTAAATTACCTCGTTCAGTACTCGCAAGAACTCTCTTCCACCTTCGAAATTCTCCTCGTACATGTCGCTCCAATTGGTAATGCTTGCGAACAAAACGGCTGTTGATTCATGGTTTTCACTGAAATTCTCTGACTTCGTGTCATGGAAACGAATGGTAGTGAGGATGTAGTATACAGTGGAAACAACGTGGGATTCAAAAAGGAGTTGAAACGCAGGAGCATTATTTCAGCTGTTTTTTGCAGGATTTCCATCGGCTACACTTCAACTTCTATACTGGTCTAACTAGCATCTTATAGAAATAATTTGTGGTAAATGATGAATGTATAGCATAAGGCGTTAAGCATTGATCAATACCTTCCTTAGAGATGCGCAATGCATCCGACTCCACAATGCATCGTACTTACTTGATACTTGAACGGTCCGTCATCACTAGTTGTGCAGGCCCCAGCATAATCACCATTTTTCAGAGATTTTCTAGTTAAGCCATTGTGGTTTCCTGGAATTCCGAGGACACATAGCCAAAGTCTGCCCTAGGCCGTCACTACGACAGGCAGTCGCAGCCCTTGTGGATCAGAGGGAGGTTTACCACCATGCGACTTTGATAACAAAACGGTGGTGGATCCTGGTATTGGTTTACTCTTAGCTAGATTTCCTTAAGGAAACGCCGGACTGTTTCTCAGTTTGCGAGACCCTGCCGGGAGGACGAATTCCCGCTGTACATCGCAGTTCGACACCCAAGAACACCTCCCAGCCACGATAAGGCGGTAAACTATTGGGAGGATGCATCATAGAGGTGATCGAATTCATATTTTTGGTCTATGTAGTGATAGCCATCATTTAGAGAGTGGGTTTAACAAAGCGACTAAAGATGCCCTCGACTAAACATTACCTTCTGTTCAACTTCACTCCACAGGCAAACTAATACTTTCATGGTTTGGGGTCAAAAAATTTGATACCAGCACTGAAATAGCACAGCGATAACCCTTCGGAAAGCATTCTATTGACCAAAAATGCAATCCGTCTCCACTTTATCATGCTTAATGGAATCGGATGCATGAAACCCTCAGGGAGAGATTGATCAACGCTAAGCTCTTCATTCTTTAACACTATTTACATTTGTGGTCAACTTCTCATTCAATAATGCGATTCCTAATAGCAAATACTTCGTCCAGTGAGCAAAACCATGAAGACCAGTAAACATACGACGAGCAATACATATTTATCCACACACCCATATATATGTGTATATATACGTATATATATATATATATATATATATATATCNACCCACTGGGCTACTCTTACACACGACAAGGAAAAATGAAAGCTTTACTGGCACCCGCTCGAGTCACTCGACGATCAACGGGACTACAGGTGACAGGTGATACATGTAGGTATGCATATATATATATATATATATATATATATATATATGCATACCTACATGTATCACCTGTCACCTGTAGTCCCGTTGATCGTCGAGTGACTCGAGCGGGTGCCAGTAAAGCTTTCATTTTTCCTTGTCGTGTGTAAGAGTAGCCCAGTGGGTTCTGCTTGCTCTAAGGACTCGTCGACTATTATACTTTTTTTCAAGGCTCTTTGTGAAGAACTCTGACCATTGGGTCGGTGGTCTTCCTGCAGTACGTTTGACGTCCCTAGGAATCCAGTCACTAACGGCTTCATTCATACGCATTACGTGTCCGGCCTACCTTATCTTCGACTGATTGGCGTACAGAATGGCATCTTTGATTTTCGATCGTTGACGCAGATCGGAGCTTCGGATCCCATCCCTTACTTGTGTTGAGCGGAATACTCCTAGCATCGTCCTTTCGACCGCGCGTTCGATAACGCTGAGTGACCTCTCGTCCTGCTTAAGCAGCGACCAGGTTTCTGACGAATACGTTAGAGCAGGAAGTATCCTTGAGTCAAAAAGGCAGGCACGGAGTCGGGTGTTCTTTGTTCCCATCACTACATCCTCGATACTCTTGAAAGCTCTCCAAGCCGCTCGTTTTTTTCTGCTCAGCTCTGGAGCTAGGTCGTTAATCATATTGATTTCCTGACCTAAATAGATATAACTGGAGCATTCGGAGATATTTGTTCCGTTGAGTGTGAATGGTGCATGCGAAACCAATCCGTTCTTCATGAACATCGTTTTTGTCAGATTTAGTCGAAGACCAATCTTTCCACAGGCTTTATCAAAGTCGTCAAGCATACGTTCCGCTTGGCTAATGTTTGGTGTTATAAGGGCGATGTCATCAGCAAAGCGAAGATGGTGTAACTAACGACCATCGAATTTCACTCCCATATTATCCCATTCCAATGTTCGCATGATGTTCTGGAGTGTGGCGGTAAATAATTTCGGCGAGACGGTGTCGCCTTGCTTAACTCCTCTTTTGACTTCAATGTTAATATCGTTGTAGAATGGTGATACCTTGGTTGTGAAATTTTCGTGCAGCTCATGAAGGATCTTTATGTATCGAGTAGGGAATCCTTGACTATTAAGGGCCTCAAAGACTGCTTCTATCTCAACTGAATCAAAGACCTTCTGTAAATCGATGAAAGTGAGACAGAGCGGTCTTTTGTACTCTCGCGATACTTCAATGAGCCTTGTTACAGTGTGGATGTTGTCCATTGCACAAAATCGTTTTCGAAACCCTGCTTGCTCACATGGTTGTCCTTGGTTTAGTGTTCTGTAAATCTTGTTTAGGAGACTCTAGTGAAAAGTTTGTAGACGACAGACAGTAAGGAGATTGGGTGATAGTTACCGATATCGTGCAGGTCACCCTTGAACAATAACACGGTCTTGCTGGTCTTCCACTGAGTAGTGATCTTGCATTCAGACAGATAACGTGTAAAGAGAAGAGCCAGTGTGTTTACGAGAACTAGCGGAAACTTCTTCAGGTGTTCTGTTCTTATCCTGTCCGGACGTGGTGCTGTTCGATTTTTCACCGACGAAATGGCATGTCGGATTTCGGAAGGAAGAACCGGTGGTACAACATATCCAACCTCTTTTATTTCATATGACAGAAAGTGGACGTGGCTATCGAAGAGATCCGAGTACTACTCGTGAATGATTTTCTCCATTGCCTTTCTGGACGCTGTAACTGTTCCGTCTGGACGCCGCAGTGCAATCATTTTGGTCTCGTAATTGGCGAAGCTTCGGTGGGCTTTGCGAATGTTTTTTCCAGCTTCTGTAGCTTCGACCATTACTGCTGCTCTTCTCCCTTTAACATATTCCATTACGGCCTGCCTGCATTGTTTTTCAAGTTCACGCGTTAGTTTGCGTTTGCCTTCAGCTCGTGCGATTCCACGCTGGCGTACCAGCTCCAGTGTTTCTAGAGACAGACGTCTCTTGCTAACTTTAGAACTCTCAGCATTCATAGCGCTAACGTGAAGATGTTGAATGAGCCGATCGTATTCTTCGTCGATGTTATCGACAACGGCATCTTCCCAACAGCCGACTAATGAATTGAATAAGTCCCAGTTTGTGTTGATTCTGGGACTTCGGTTTTTGAGTTTAGCGGCTTTTTCTCCTTTCCGCGAGAGGTGGAATCTTGCGTGAAGGAGACAGTGGTCTGATCCCGTGTAGAATTTTGGGACAACAGCGACATCGGTTAGGGAAAACCTATTTACTATGATGTGGTCTATTTCGTTATGGTACTCTTCATCGGGAGACTCCCACGTCCAGCGCTGAGGGTAGGGCTTCTGGAATTGCGAGTTACCATGGATTGTCTTGGTCGCAATGATAAATGCGTCGTTTTCTTGTTCAGCAATCGCGAGGTTTTTAAACAGAATACATTTACTTCCATAGAGAAACACAATGCAGTACAACACTAGCTGAGGTTTCGGCAGTATCGCCTTCTTCAGAGCCGCTTTTTTACGTGACTTCCAATGAGGAAGTTCATCAACCATATGCAACTATAAT